GCAGTTTATCTGTGAACCTTACAGGGTGTTTGTGACTTTTCTGAACTTTTGAGCAATTTCTGACAGCCAGACTAAACGTAGGTGTTGGAGACGAAACTGAATCATCATTTGTTTTGGGGCTGGGGCATATTTGATCCATTTGCCAACACATTTCTGGTGTACAGCCTCGACGATGCAACTTCAACTGATGGAGCTTGGACACTTTCTCTTCACTTCCCTTCAAAAGCCACATTTCACTTTCTGCACTGAACACAGGATAATGCCCTTCATTGGTTACATTTATCTCCCTTTTTTGGGCTGTATTTTTACAGTTATGATGCGATTGCTCCTGGCCTGAAGGTGTTTAAAAACACAACACAGGAAAAAGAGAAAATAGAAATATCCCAATTATTTTATGACTAAAAGACTTACACTCAGTTTTCCGTCTCAAAGATGGAAATAATGCACACAAACAGGGTTGTTTTTGTCCACAGTTCCAACGATCCTGGAAGTGTATGTCTGGAAAAGAGTGTGGTGCTAATCATGAATTCATTAGCACTCATTGTCTATAGGGCTGTTAATGTGTGATCGTGTGTGTGTGGGTGTGTGTGTGTGTGTATGTGTGTGTTAGATATTTGAGTAAATCTTGAAGCTAGCCCAGAGCAGTTAGCGAGACACACAGGTCACAGAACTTGAAGCCATGCTACCTTTTTGCATCTGCCAGATTCTTGAACAGGTCTGTTGTTGACATATTTACAAAATTAGAGAGTAAAGTTTGTTTCTTTAAACTCCCATCAGTCCAATATGCATAAATAATCATTTTAATAATATTGCTGAAATATTTTATGACAACCCTAATTAGACGTAATTTTTCTGTCACGCCATAATTTGCACTTTTTCTCAAACCTCATCAACACAAGAAGCATGTACTGCATAAAGATAAACTGTGTGTGTGTGTGTGTGTGTGTTGTTGTGTAAATCCTCAGATCCAAGGCAAGCTTCAATTAATGGCGCTTGATGATCTGAAAGCAAACTAGACGAGCTTCCTCCCCAACCCCCCCCC